GTATTTTATGTAAAAAATATATTTTTATGTATTCTATATTTTATATAGAATATATATAAATACACATGCATGTTGGAACCCAGGGACTCTTTTGTTATATATGTACATTTAGATACATATATATGCACACATGTATCTATGTATGTACATGGTTTGTTCCAGGTCTAGTTCGCAATTTTCTTATAACTTCCCTTTTCTAAGTTGTGAATACCATTGCCTGAAACATGTTTCTTATGCTGAAAGATCATAGAATAGAATCATAGAATAGTTTGAGTTGGAAGGGACCATGGAGGTCATCTAGTCCAGATCAGCATCTGAACAGCACACACAAGTAAGAATTGCTGTATTTGTGTGAGTACCATATTGAATAAAGGCTAGTTTGTAACAGAGAAATTAATTCAAAATATATGGGCAAAATATGTACTTGGATTTCTTATTAGTCTGTTACTGGAGACTAGTTTGCATAAAGGTTTGTGCAAATTAGCACTCATTCTCTCTGCACTTCTTTCTAGTTGTGTGTAACAAAGTGCCTGTCTGAAGGCAGTGCTCTCTTATGGGACTTAATGAAATTCTTCAAGCTCAGCATGTTCATGTCACAGCTCCTCTCTCTCCCTCCCCGCCACCCCCCCACCAGAATAGCATCAAGTTGAGTAAGGACTATACTTTGAAGTGAAGAAGTGTGACAGAAGGGAAGGGGAGACAGTGGTCCCTCACTCAAATATTTTGACTTGTTTATGAACAGTGCATTTCAAGTCAATTTGAATTTAGAGCAGTGCTACTTCATGGCACAGAAAATATGCACAGGGAAAGAAAAAATCACCAATTGCTGGAAGTCCATTAAGCATGAAATCATTATAATCATAGCTGGTTTTCTTCTCTTTAGTCCTGATGGCAAACCAACTCTTCTTCCACCTGAGCACGTGCAAGAGTTAAATCTGAGGTCTACTGGCATGCTTAATGCCATACAAAGATTTTTTGCATATCACATGATTGAGACATATGGTTGTGACTACTCTACGAGCGGACTGACCTTTGATACTCTCCACTCCAAGATCAAGTCTTTTCTTGAACTTCGGACAGCAGATGGACCAAGACACGATACCTACATTTTATATTACAGTGGTCACTCACATGGCACTGGCGAATGGGCACTGGCAGGTAATTGTTTGGGGTACTTTTTCATTAATAGTTTTAGGATTGATAAACTTTCCAAAACAATTAATTCTTTATTTAAAGAAAATCATACTGTATTGCAAAACTTTGAAGCTTCGGTCACATTTATTTTCTGGTAGTCCAGAATGGCAAAGAGCCACTAGCCTTTGGAGAACAGCTTCATACAAGCTTCTGACAGGGAAGGAAGAAAGGAAAGGGTAATACACAGAACATGACTTTTAGAGATTCAGGGGCTACAAGGATTCATCAAAATAGGCAAGGTTGCAGACTGACTACCCCTGCTAGCAGAAGAAATGGAGAAACACAGAAGCCCCTTTTGTGTGCAGTTAACTTGATCCAAAGAAGCAGCTCTTTCCTTACCTTGCTCTGTATGACAGTCAGGTATGTCACTATATGAACTTCCGTGTCATTTTTAGTATTTAGTCACTTTGATTAAAATCCTTTTGCAGCTATTCTTTTAGTTGTTTTCAAGATTGTCAATATTGTTGACCACAAGTGTATGCTTACAAGTTTAAGCATGATTTCTTATTCCCCCGTACAACTGAACAAGGTGACTTTAACAATCAGTTTGTTTTCCAGAAGAGTGAAGTGGAAATGACCCCCTTCTGCTCTAAAGACAGATTTCCCTTGTATTTTGAGGTATATCTGTTCTCTATAATGAACAAGCATAATCTCTTTTCAAAGCCAGCACACCTACTTCTGAGTGAATTAAACAGTACTCTGAGTCACTGTGTCAGCTAGGCTGTCATGAAGGATTGGATGTATATCCTTAAGATGTGCTCTGTTTTTTATAAAAAAGATAGAATTAGTAAGAGAAATAGGAGGTAGGTATACAATCCACACTAGAAAAGCAGGTCTTGAAACATATAGTAGACCTTGTGTCATGAAAACAGCTACAGTTTGCTCACCCCCTAGAGTTTGAGAGTCATTGTGAGTGCAGTGTAGCCTCAAGACTACAAACCCCTATATAAAAGGCTGGTTTAATGCTTAGTCATATGCTTGGCATAGACTGCATGATTTCCCCCTTTCCTGGTCTGTTTTTGATCGGTTTATAATGGGCAGTTCTGTCTCAACTGTATAAAAATTGTTGGTAGACCTACTGAAGTTTTGAAATCGTTGGTAGGTTTAGCCTTTCTCTCCTGCTGTATGGAATTGGGCTTCTGAGGTTGTGTGCAAATAGTGAATCTTGTAGTAAATATGTTGAAAATTTGCAACCTTTTTTTCTTCCTGGGACAGAATTCACTGTCACAGATAGTGCTCTGCCTGCAAGCTCCTGGCTGTTTGTCAGCAGTATCTCTCCAGGGGCATCTGCTCTTTAACAGTGTAGACGGATTTGAGATTTGTGTGTGGTCATGCTGAAGTGTTCAGGCACAGGTCAGTTTTCATCTGGAGGCCATATACCTGTTCTGGTGCAACTCTACGCCTTAACTGTTAGACCTGCTGAAGAGCAACACGTATTTCTTCTCAAAGGCTTCATCTGTATCAGTGATTTTAAAAAGCCATACTCGGAGCTCAGCACAAGTGACGTAATGCAGAGTACACCTGAGGGGCTGAATGACTTCTCCAAGAACAGGTTGGTCTTGTCCGTAAGAGCAGCTGCTGCCCTGTGCAGTTGCCAGGTGTGTCCACACATTGCATGGAGCAGGCTAGCAGCGAAACTCTGCTTCCCACCCATGCTCCAGGCTGGCAGCACAGACACAGTTAGCTTACTGGCATATATAGAGCTAAATGCAAAAAATAGACCACCTCCAGCCCAGTCCTGGCTTGCAGCAGGAGCTCGGGTCTCTGTATACCTGTTCAGGTAGCTGTAGCTTAAATTACTTAGCTAAACTAGCTGTAGCCTTTGCTTTTAGGACAAGGGCCAAGGTAACTGTTAAAATAAAAAGAAATTTTCTGTGCTAAAAGATGCAATATGTAAATGCAGTGGCGTTCAACTTTCTCAGAGTGGCTTTTCCGTTCTCTACCCATCACAACTTCGTCTTCTACTTGAAGATATGTATAGTCACATAAAGGAGAAGAACAGGCAGCTGTCACATGTTGCATCCTTTTTTGTGATTAAATTTAGATAAATCATGGAGTGTAACCTGATACTCCTTCCAGATAGCCCTGCTTCTGAATGTGAATTGAAGTATAAACTGAAAAGATGAAGGCTGTTTGATTGTGTAATTGTATTGCATGTATTGGACAGTGGCGTTTCGTGACAGATGGAACATTTGGTCATCAGCTCCAGTAATGTGTACCGTCCTCCGACCTCTGGAGAGGATGAAGAGAGATGGCAACAATGAAATGTAGCATTCGGATCTAATAGAAAAAGTAGTGTCTCACTGCCAGCTTATGCTGTGATACAGCACAGCAGCAGCAGTGTAGTCTTCGCTTTGTAATGACATCTTTAAAAGGAGGTTTACTGGATTTATTAGTTCACTAATGATGTTTCTCTGTTGTTGGAAGCTATGTAACACAGCGATGTATAAAAGAAGCTGTTAACTAGTCATGCATAAAGTATGAGTAGTCAGACGACCTGGAGGTCATGTTCTCTGGGTGAAGGCAAAGCCAAGAGCTGGGCTAATGAAGCTTTGTCTCTCTTGCTGAAACTTTTGGCTTTACTGCCTGTGAAACCTGACAAAGAGCCAGATGTGGCCAGACACATAGCTTTCTTACACAGCTCTGTGCCGAAATCTTGTGCTGGCTGGTAAGTCCATGTGTTTGAGGTCAGTAGGATTAGAAGCTGAGCGTGTGTCTGTGTGTGTGTGTGAAGGATGAGGAGGTTTTCTTTGGGCAGTTCTATCCAGTACTGTTTTGAAATCACCTGTCCCCTGCATAGCTACACTAAAATAAAGTTTATTTATAAGACTTTAAAATGTGAACAGACTAAGAAATTTTTACTGCTAATTGACACAGAAGGCTTACCTAGAAAACGGAAAGTTCTCTGCGAGTCTGCTGTAAATAACTACAGCAATTTGAGGATCATGTACCAAGACAAGTCATTACTGTCGGTTTGTATATTAAGATTTTATTTGATACTAAATTTAACAGGTTTGCTTTTTTTTTTTTTGAGAAAGTTGTAGCTGTGTAATTTTGCTTTTACTTTAACTGTGATAGCATGCTCAAAGCTTTAACTCTGAGCTATTAATTTGAAGCATTTTTTGTCACTCCTTACAGGTAGAAATGTGAGTGCTGAAATATCCTACTAACATGATTTTAAACACTGCTAAGTGTACTTAGATTCCACAGTGAAAATCTCTATGTAATTAAAATGCACTTATTTTAAATCACATTTTTTGACCTTTCTTCGAAAAGTCATCTTTTTTTTTTTTAAGTCAACATTTTCAAACTAGAGTGTTTTTGTTGTACATCTGTATCATAGCTCCAACCTGTCTAACACCTTGACATATCAGTTCTTCATGTTAATAGTCACTGTGGAGCCAGTGGAGATTTGTTAATTTGTTTGCAAGATGCTTTCCTTAGGCACTTAAGTAAGTACTCTGGTTTTCAAAGCTACAGAGATCCTGCAGTTTCCATCAGGAGGACTTCCCACTATGGGTAACTCTATTTAATTACAATCTGTTCTTTCAAAGCATTGTTGGAGCAAGAGCCGAGATGGAACGTGAGAAGTTGGACACTCTAGTTGTGTTTTATGAGCTGATAGGAAATAGATATTGTGGAAAAATTCCTATGAAATTTTTGTTTCAATGAGTTGTAAATTCATACTAATTTTAATTTTCTTGAAGCTCTGAAGACAACTGTGTCTATAGAGCGAATCTCTCCATTTCTGATCACATTTTTTTAAGCCAAAGTGACGGTTGTGCCTGTAGCTGGCTTTCTCATTTTGCTTTGAAACTGTTAGCACGTGTTGTGTTCAAAAGTCC